CAGCCCCGCTTCCACGCAGCCCCGCTTCCACGCAGCCCCGCTTCCACCTCTCCGAGTCGCCCCGCGGCTCGCCCTGTGGAGCTGAGTTGACCGGCCGCTGGAGGGACAGGAGGAGCCCCGGGGAAAGAGTGAGGGCACGGCGCGTACCTGGCAGCCCCCGTCACCATGGCCACAGCCGGAAGTGCCGCGGTACTGCGCGCGTGGTACGGCCCTCAGGAGGGGCGGGATTTCTGGTAGGCTGCCCAATGGCCGATCGCGCCTCTGAGAGGCGACCCGGAAGTGGTAACGCGGGAGGGGCGGTGCTCGACCAATGGGTCCCCCCCTGTGTGCGGTCCGGTCGAGCAGCGCCGCTCCCAGCGCAGCGTTCCGCCTCCGGCCCCGCTGGGCTGCTCGCGGGGCTCCGTCCGTTCCGTCCTTGTTCCCGTCACTGGGATGTGCCGAAACTGCTCGCACGTGGGCCAGGGAAGGCCAGAGATGGGGAAACGGGTGAAAATGGGAAGGTGAGCGCTACCTGGCTCCACGGACGGCTCCATTGAGCCTGTTTGCTCCTGGGTTCAAGGCAGAGAGATGGGGCTGTTCTGAACGCTGAGCTGGGCGTCAGGGGAATGTCCTGAACGGGGCAGGTGGTCCCTCGTGAGCTCACACTGCTGCTACGTGCTTGGCTGATAACACGGGGATCTAAATTCTGTTCTTTAACCCCTCTGTGTGAAGACTGAAAATGGAGAAGTGATGCAGTGTGTGAGCGAGGAATGGTGGGTGCTGAATTCCTGCAGCGTCCCATGACAGCAGAGAGAACTGCAGCTCCTGCACGGGCTCTTTGAAGGGATTCTCACAGGCAGTTTTGGTGACAAAGTGGGACCTGAATGACAGCTTCACGCGTCCTCGTTCAGTGATGGCACTGTCAGCAGGCCATGGAGTGCTGCCAGGGGACAGCACAACGCTGCTCGTGCCTTTGGGATCCAGAGGCCTGAGGGACTGAACACTGTGAGGACCTCCTGCACCACGGGAACGGTGCCTGCCTTCAAACCGGTGCTTTTTTCTGTTCCCTGTGGTGATGTGTGAGCAGAAGCTACATTGACAGGCAATCCAGAGACAAAGGCAGGTAATCCTGGGCGTCTTTCCCTGAGATAAACAGTAGGGTTTCACGACAGCAATTTGAAGGATGGTTTACATCGGATAACACTGTTTTGTTCCTCTGCATTAAGGGAAATACGCTGGAGCCTGAGTTCAAATCAGTGTGTTTGCCGTTAATAATGGATCAATAGCAGTGGAAAAAGAAGAATTTGGGATCTTCCTAAAAAGTCACATTTCAAGGGGTCTGATGGTGGAGAGTTTTCTATCTCTAGGGCTGCTGTGGAATGAAAGGAAGGAGTCAATAATTTTATTCATACAAATTAAACTGAAAAACAAAGCCAAGAAGCAGTTGCTTTATGTCACGGCAGCCTGACTGGAAGCTGTGGTCTGTTCAGTCTCCTGAAAATCAGAGCTGGAGGAAAAAAAAAAACAAAAACAAAACAAACAAACAAAAAAATTTCAAACCATCCTTCTCCCCAAAGTGGATGAACTGTAGAGTGATGCACTGTCTTTCTTACAGGACAGCAATTGCCTGACGTCCAGGCTCCTGTGCTAACTTACCCGGTATCTGCCAGCTCATTTCTTTTAGCAGGTAATAGTCAGTGTCACCAGACTGGCAGGTGCTAGGGAAGTTGATTGAAACCAACTGCCCTGCAGTGGTTGAGTGGAGAATCATGCAGCAGGGGGTTAGTCAGACTAGATTTGCAATTAGAGAAGAAAATTCATTAGAGTAAGTCTTGATTTTGTTGCTTTGATTGGGATCTGTTTTAGTAGATGAACCTGATCTATGTAATTAGCAACGAGCTCACCTTTGATTTAAACCTGCTGATTCACGAATTGCATATTGGTGAGATGAGTAACTCGTGTCAACGTGCCTTTGTTCTCAGGAACATTAGAGAGGAGTCTGTCCTGAACCTGGGGCTTTTGTTCCAGAGACCGTGCCGCCTGAATGCTAAATGTTGGTGCAGTCTTTTAAAACGACGCCTGTTGTTTTTATTAGCACTCATTGTCTCCTCTTTTCTTCTCTTTCTCGCTGTGTCAGCCTAGAACTGCAGAGGGCTGGAATCCTTTTAGCATTTTAACGCTTCCTTAGCAAACATCCTGCTGTTCTATTGTTGCCCTCCTGAAGTGTGGGAGCTCTTTTTTTTTGAGGGAAAATATCTCCAAACTCTAGGAGCTGTTTGCACTTGTTCGGTCACATCTGCTTTGCTGCAGGCATCGCTGAGTGCAAATCTTCAGCCTTTTAACCCCATTCTCTAGGGCAACAATTTTGTGCTCTAGTTCTTCCAGGCTCTTATTTGTCACCTATTTTTCAAGGGGCACGGGGTGTAGCTTCTCTTTTGGGAAGAGCTCTGGATGCTTACCCTAGCAGCAAAGAGCCGTGCAGAAGTCCTCACAGGGGAACAAAACCTCCAGGGGAAAACATCCATGAACTAGTTTGAACTGAGTGCTCCCAATTTCACAGTGCCTTTGGTTGGAAAATGTAAATGTTCAAAGAGCTGTGGCATAATGAAAGATTTTTTTGTCACAGCCTCTGAAGCAAGGGAGCAGTCTCCTCTTTCCCTCCCTGTTTGCATGGATTGAGTTTTGGTCGCACCTAAAAACCAGCCTAGGATGTCTGTGTCCCTTCTGGGCAGTGGACCCAAGAAGGTGGTTGTGTTTTTTTGCCCCTTTGCTTTTTGCTCAGGTTACAGTTCTGATTTGGAACCTTTGGGCTCTGGGCTCCTTTCAGAGAGCTCTCGGGAAGGCTTTGGGCTGTAGCCCCTCACTCCTCTCTGGCAGAATTCTGCTCCAGTTCAGCTCACTGCCCTACAGGTTTTTGCACCACCTGAATTTTTTTTTTTTTTTTTTTTTTTAAAGTTCATTTCTGTGTGATTTGGTTCCAATTATTCACAATTATTGCCTTTTCCAGGCACTGCACTGCAGCATTTCCAAGCTTGCTATGAAAAAAGTGTACTTACTGAGCCTGCAGATACATTATGTGGTTGTGCTGCAAACTCCTGACTTCTGCGGCCAACTCAAATGCTGGGGAAGAGGGAGCACTGAGATCCGCCCCTCGTGCACTGAGAATCATAAAATGTAGCACAACCGTTTGAACTGAACTGAATGCCTCTGAGGGAGACCGTGATGTTTTGTCACATGCAGAAGTGAAGACATGGCAATGCTGAGGTACCGATCCCGTGAAGAGGTTCTAATTGTGGTTGCTGTATAGAAGTATCAGCCTTGTTGACCTCAGGATACCCAATCCTGTCAATCCCTGCCGCCTTCCTTCTTTGTCTTGGTGTGGTGCAAGCAGTGAGGTCTGAGAGCTGGTCCTGCAAGGCAGCAAACACACATGCAGAGGAGTGCCTGCTCAGCCCTTGCTGTGCTTTTCGGTGAGGTAGGAAAGAGTTAAAGACAGCAGAGGGCGAGTGCTGTGCTATTGTTCAGGCATTGCTCTGCATCTAGGGCTGCTGCTCTCTATTCCCGGATCTGCCTCTGGCTTCCTGCACGACCTTGGGCTGCTCACCCACCTTCACTTTGCTTTAGTTCTCAAATTGCAACATGGAAATCTTTCTCTTCCTGTAGTGCCACACGCCTTGCTGGCTTTAGGGAGGCTGAGTTCTCAGGTGGGAGGAGAGGGGAAGAAGAGGACACATTTCCACTGGAGAAATAATTATGCAGAGCACAGTAATTTCTGAACGCTCTCTTGTTCACTTGGGCACAGCAGAGTGCACGGTGCTGCTTGTGTTCAAGCAGGCCAAAGTCACATTCCATTTGTCGTCGAGCAGAGCAGTGTCAGTTGCAGTGTTCCCTTTTCTCACTAGATGGTGCTTTTGATCAAAGATACGAATAACTGCAGCGCTCCGCACAGAATTGCTCTATTTCTGTTCCCTGTCTCCATTCCTCCCTCTGCTCTTTCTGTGCTGTAACACTACGGGGGACACTTAACGATGCTGGATGTTGGGTGAGGCTCATCTGGCAGTGCTGCTCCCAGCTCCCACCAGCCAGCTGTGGCTGGGCTTGGGCTCTTGACGCACGGATCGGTGCTGCCGGGCTGTGGCAGAGAATTGAATTCTTTCCGTGTTTTCTATTCCCATAAGGAAAAGGCTTCAAAGAGCAGGTCCCCTCCCCCTCTCTGCTGGTGAAGGGCATTTAGGGAAGCTGGGGAGAAAAAAAAATCCAGCTCTGACAGATGCATTTATTTAACAAACCACAGCCTTTCCTCACCTTAGCAGCACATTGGTTGGTTTTGGTTTTTTGTTTGTTTGGGTTTTTTTAAAGAAGGAATTGCTGTTTTTATATCTATTTTGTATTCAGTAGATAGTTACCTAGCCAAGGTCATTGCTGCTGCATGCCAGCACCACGCAGCCAGCCAGCTCCTCTTCCCTGAATGAGCACCACGAGGCTTCCACAGGTAAAGAACAGGAGTGAATCTGCCCACGCCAGGTCCCACGCTGCTGCAGGGAGCCACACGCGCAGCCCTCCATGGTCTAAAAGGCAGCAAAGGAGGTGAATGGAATTGTAATCAAACACTTCCTGCGCAGACATGCACAGGGCTCTGTTAGGAGCAGTGAGAGGCACAGCGGGGCGCGCGGTGCTGCGTGTCATCACGCTGTGCTGCTGGAGCTCCCCCCCCGGCCCCCCCCCCCCCTGCAGCTGCCTTGGGTCGCTGTGCTCAGTGCTCCCTGCAGTGCCGGTGCCTGGCTGAGCCGCACGCTGCAGACCTGCGCCCGCTCCCATCGGGTTGCATCACGCCCGGCTCCCTCCCCGTGGAATTTTACAACTGTTAATGAATGGGGTTGGAGCACCGCTGTGCCGCCAGGCAGCCGTTGGTGGATTTATGGTCGGAGATTGAGCTCCTGCCTCTGGCACTGCATCGGTGACAGCAGTGCTGTGTGTGTGCCAGCAAGCCTGCGAGGCCAGAGCCTGCAGCAGCCCTGTGCTCACGTGCTGCGTGTTGTTCTTACGGTGGTGACGTCCCTGCAGCAGGGACACAAGCTATGCGTGAGAGGAGTGTGACACAAAACTGCTCTGAGGACCAGGAGCTGACAGTGATTTCTCTGTCATTCCCCTGTTGTCATCTTCCCCACTGCACGTACATTTGTTCATCGTTAGTAAGGTACTGTTGATGACTAAAGCCTGGGTCTGTATCGCAGTCTGCTTGAAGGAGCAATCGAGGACTGCAGGGCTCAGCTCATGAGGAGTGGGGCAGTGCGTTTCCTCATTCTATGGGATGTGAAGAGTCCCTCCTGACTGACAGCGAATTGCATCACTGCTTGTACAGATATTTTTCTCTGCAATGTGCTTGTAGTGTTGTTTTCCACCAGTGAAATTTGCCAGCACGTCCCAAATTGTGTGGTTTTGGAATGGAGAAGCAACATACCTGTGCGGGGGAGAGAATGAGTGCTTTTTGCTTCTTTCAATCTGGCTCTTCCCTCCCTTCTCCCCACATCCCCATGTGTTACAAAGCCAGCTGCTCCCAGAATAGGTTGGGAATGAAATGTCACCGTTTGAAACTGGTGAGTCACACTTTTTGAAGCTTGGGGGGGGAGGGAATCTGAAATCCTGCGGTGTGGCAGAGCGTCTCCTGGTGAGCACAGAGGGATTTTGAAAACCACGGGCTCCCTGATGGTGGAGTCGAGGGGTTTTGCATGCAGGCTGCTGGGTGTGTCTGGGCTGCTTTCTGCAGGAGGATGGCAAAACCTGCTGCAAACTTCAGCTGTCTGCTGGAACGTACCTGCTGCAGCCACATCCCAGCGCCTTCCCGACAGGACTGGGTCGTATCTGACAGCGAACCTACAGTGACTCTCTTAATTAAGTCTCCCTGCACTGCTGTGAGGTATGTAATTACAGTGAGACCTGACTTAAGCAACCACACGAGGGACTAACAACAGGAAAAAAAAACCTCTTTACCAGAGCAAGGAGGAGCAGAATTATACTGTTGCTTTTTTTATAAATATATATATATATTTCAGGGGAAGTTTATTAAACAAAGTAAGTCAGTTAGTCTGGTTTCTTCTCAGTGTATCCCAGTAGGGATGATACCTAGGATGATACCTTTAATGTACTGTATGTTAATATAAGCAGGCTGTTTCCTTCCAAAAAGATCCTTGAGATTGTTAATTTTTTTTAATAGAGATTTCTGTGAAAAGCATCAATTAATACAAATGGTAACAGTGGTCTTGTGAGATGAGCTGTTGTTACCAGAAGCTGGGCAGTGGTTCTCACTTCCCAACTCTGTCCAGGGGTAGGAATGTTTATTCAAAGGGTGACATGTGGGATTCCTGCTGCAGCCCTTGGCAGCCGTGCATTTCCACACTGTGCATGGCAGCCCTGCCTTGTAGGTGCTGAGTTGTGCACCTTGAGCTGAGCACCACTGGTCTGTGCCCAGTGCTGGCAGTGGCAGGTTGGGCTTTGTGCTGCCATTCCCATCTTGCCCACCAGCTAGCTGGCTGTGTTAATATCCTGAGCAGCCGACTGCGGTGGCCACAGAGAAGTCATGCAACTCATCTTACAGCCTCTGCTTCGGCCTTACTGACCTCCAGCTGAAGGGCAGGTGGAAGCTGGAGACAGCAATACCACGAATGGTCGCGTGGTGAGCCAGCTGCAGTCCTCTTGAGTCCCCATTCAGTGGGGTGCTGAATACATGCAGTGAGTAAAGCTCCCCACTTACAGGCTGAGCGACGCAGGCAGCTTGCTGGGGACTTTGCAGGAGTAAGCCTTAGGGAGTTTGGTGCCATCTCTGTCTGTTTCACTTTAGAAAACTGAGCTAGTAACAGGAATTTATGAAGTGTGCATTTAAATCTCAAATTTTAGGTAGTGTTAACTAGAAGCCCACATACTGTCGTCACCGGACTTGGCAAAAAACACCCAACAAACCAACACAACGCTGGCTGCAGAAGATTTGCTGCAGAGCTTAAGATTTCATTTAAGACAAAATAAAGCAAACCCTGTGCATCATGGCCTCAGAGACAACCTTGGGAAGTCAGATCTGGGTGCCGTTCCACATGCCTATTTCTCAGCAGCATAGCCTGCTTATCTGCCCCACTCTTTATCTTTGTTGCCCTTTTTTCTCATCTCGGAGAACTTCAGTGAGTTTCCTTCTGCTGTGGTGGGCGAGTTGAACCAGCAGTGCTGCAGGGTACTTTGCCTCTCCAGATCCTGAATGAGGATTCCTGTTAGCTTACAGGCTCTAGCAGATAACTAGCCCAAGATAATGTTGGGTGCAATTGGTTCAAGTACGCCCTATTGAAAAGCAGCTTATTTCCTAGAATGAAGTTAGCATGATTTCAAACCGAGCAACGAAAGATGAATTGAGCACACAGCTCCAATGCTGAATCCAATAAGCATTTGAAATTTCAAAGGTACGTGATTTTTTCCTTTAAAGCTTCATGGGTTTTTGCCCAAATCAAAGGATTTTGGTGGACTGCTTACTGTGGGATTTTCCAGGCTGCCTGAGGCCACGCATTCTCAGCTCCTCCGCCTCGGCACAACTCACACCTAAGGATGGAACTCTCCCTAACATGAACAAGCATTTCAGCTCATTGGGACAAGCCAGTATTACTACTGAGTTGGTTTGGGCAAAATAAATAAATAAGGAGGGGAGGTGGTGACCAAAATGACGTGGTTGGACACTCATTAGCAAAGCATTGTCAGGGAACAATAGAAGAACAGACAAAAGTCAGCCCAGATTCTGTGGTATTTCCTCAAGGGCTCCCTCTGGCACATGGCTGCTCCCTGCCAATCCTTCCGTATTGTTTTTGATAATGAATAGAAGCTGAACAGATGATTGTTGTATTGTCCACTAAGTGATTCATTTACATTAAATACTGCTCAAAAGGAGGCTTTGGGTAGACTTTTTTTTATTCACTCCAGTTATTTATTTGTACAATTTAATTACCATCTTTTAATTCTCCACTGTACATAATTATTTCCTGATTGCTTTGGCTAAATTACAGGGGTTGTAACTCCTCAGAAGTCAGTGGTCCAACAAGCCCTGACATCAGCAGCAGCATCTCTGCATTTTCAGAGATGATTAAGTTCAAACAATCACCTTTAGAGAGCCACTCTTTCTTGGGGAAGGTGCTGAGGTTCTGCAGCATCTGTCTGCAGGTGCCTTATGCCCCTGCTGCCTGGCTCTGAACAGCAGTTTGGCACAAACTTTGCTGCATAAACCATCATGGCTTCATTGATTTCCTCACTAATCTCCCATCTGTGTGTCTTCACCAGATTTTCTTCTTTAACCCAGGCTTTCTATTGCAATTTCAGGCTTTTCTTATGGATGGTCAAAAGCGTTGAGTAGTTTCATTTTGGTTGGAAAGATGTGACAGATGTGAGAAGTTTAAGGCTTATTGACGCTACAGTTGGAAGAACTTCGCTGTCAGAAGGTGTTTAGTCCCAAATCCACATCCAGAACTACATGTACTTTGATCCACTGATTTGTGTGTACTGATGAGTAGGGGAGAATGACTGACACGTCCTGAAGGGATTTTTGATGCTGAAGAATGTAAAGAAATCAATGAAATCAACAGTTTCAAGCTTTTCCAGCTCCTGGTGTGTGAGAAGTTGCATGACTTTGCATTTGTCAAATAGCTGTAGTTAAAGCTCAAAAGCCCTGATTTCCTATGCAATCTCTGTTCTGTTCTCCCTTCCCTGTACCACACCAGAGATTCGGTGTAGGCTTTTGGTTATGTCTGTGTGAAACAGATCTTAAAGTCTGGAGCGGGGCAGCAAAAGAGTTAAGCAGAAGGGAGAAGGAACAGCCCTAATAGCGTTGAATTGTTCATCTAATAGGGCCTGTGTTTAAATCTCCCAGAACAAAGCAAAGCAGCTCTTTCTGATATTTTTTTCAGCCCCTTCTCCATTCTGTTAAGAAAAAGTAAATCACCACTCCTGTGCTGAGGTATAAAGTAAGATTTTGTTCTGAAGAGTTTACGTGTTTCCAGGTGAGACGTGGAAAAAGACTGACTCTTTGCAGTCAGTTTCCCATGAACTCCTAAGTCAAAAGAGCATGGAGGGCAAGAGTGTGCCAGTATCCCTGTAGCCTTACAGCTGTGAAAGGCTGCACTGAAGCTCTGCCATTCTCTGCTGCTGGAGTTGCTGAACCTGAGCAGAAGTTCCAGATGGCTTCCAAAGGATTCAGCTTCTGAGCATGTTCCATCTCTGTTACCCTGCTTTGGGAAACTGCCTTTAATGGGTCTGCGTTTAAAGCAAACATCATCTCCTTGTGCTTGGTCTTCTTTTGGGCTCTATGTAATCGTTTGAAACCCAGATAAAACTCGGCAGGCACACAAGCGAAGCCAGCCCTCCTCCTGCCATAAAACCACAACTGCCTCTATTGCCAGTGCTTCCCCTGCTGCCTTCCACTTTAACCCTGCAGCACTGCTCTCCTTGTGTTCTTGCTCTCCCCGGAGCCACACTGCTCTGTGTGTAGTGGCAGGCGATGAAACCATGCATTAGCAGCTCCATAATAGCTTTGCTCAGTGGAACCCAGCTTCCTTCACTAATCCGGAAAATGAGAGTTGTTTTTGTACATTTGAGAAGCTAATTATTTAAGTGCTGAGAATTAAGGCTCATCAGATAGTGGAGACTGATTTTGGTTTTGTTTCCCAGGGGAAGAAGAAGATGGAAGGAAGCTGCTCTCACACAGGTGTGCAGCATGGTAGCTCCCCAGTACTTGGGGTGGGGAGCAGCAGTGTGCAGGTCCCTTTCTAGAGCCTCTCTTCGTACGTTTCCTCTCTCTCAGACATCATTTGATGGTTTTCCCCGTTTGAATAGACTTTGAAAGTATCTTCTGGTCAAATAATGTGATAGCTTTATTTTTATGGCCATAACAAAGATGGACCCCGTTTGTGGCTGACCCGGCCTGAATATTTTGCAATAAAACCCTCGTCTCAGGGTTTTTAGAGGGGGAAAGTAGCTCACATCAGTTGTCCTCCTGTGGTCAGTTATCTTTCAGCCTTACCTTTGATCACAAAAGCTGAGTGGGATTTAGATGCTGCTATCTAACCTAGAAATGGACCTTGCAGTGGCTTGGAAAACAGGAGATGAATGGGGTGAAAACCCCCGTATCTGTGGGGAAACCACAGATGAGGGCTGATATGATAAACAAAGGTTTTACAGCACAGTGACTTTTACAAGTGAATGGCCAATAGCTGTATGGTACAGAATGGAGACGTGGTTCTGGTGGTTGCACTGGATGGACCCCTCCTTGTTAAAAGCAGCTTGCCAGGAATAAATGTCTTGTTTTTTAATGAGATCAACAATGCTGTGCTGTCTTCAGAGACTGAGGAAGTGAACTTTTCTGTGTGTTTGGTTGAAGTCAGATGTTACAGGATTGTCTGGACGTAGCTGACTTGACAAATAGCAGGGGTGACATTTTAGCTCCATGTAAGTCAGTGGCAAAATTCCTGTTGAACTCAACTGGGGCCAAGATTTCATCCCATGATGGTGCCAAAGGGAAATCTAAGAAATGATCCTCAGAAAAATAAGTGCAGGCATTCTGTTTCTCTAGGACTGTTTTTTTTTTTTACCTAAGGGGCACGAATCCTTGGAATTCCATGCACTGCTTTGGAGAGATCTGCAAAAGATCACGAAGACAAGCAAGTGTCTATAGGTTTAAATTAGAAATACAGGGGCCTGTGATTCCAAGGGAAAACTTTCAGGAGTCGATTATGAAATGTTAAGTCAGCTAAGCCCACTGAAATCCACCTATCTTTGTGCTCCATGGACTGACAAGCATCCTTCTGGCCAGACCTGTGCAGCTGGACTGGCTGCCACTGAATGTTGTGGATTGAAGCAGCTGCTCCACCCCCTCTGCTCAGATGTAGGCAGGGGGAAGCCTCTAATCTGGCGGATGCTTTTAGCAATGGACTGGACCGAAAACAAAATCTTTGTTTTAGAGAGGGTGGTGGAGCTGGGACCATATAAATCTGTTTTGCTGCGAGGTCAGTGATTGATTAATGCTGGAAGTGCCACCTTGGGATGACAAGGATTGAGGATACAGCCGCTTTTCTTCCCCATGTGGAGGCACACTGCATCTTCCCAGCTGAGCTATCCTGTAACACAGATGACTCTCTGGAGAAAGACTTAGCTGCACGTTTGCAGTATGTTTTAGCTACTATCAACATTTATATTCCATTGTCATTTGGGGGTAAGCACTAGTTAGCATAATCATCAGTGCTTTAAAATTAAAAATTCCTCCAAGAGATGCAGGAGGGATTGAAATGGTTTTCTGCCCCCAGAGGCAAATCCTTTCCCAAGCTATCTGCTGCACCAAAAGGTTTTATTCTAGAAACATTCCCAAGCCGTGCCCAAGAGTAAATTAAACTACAGCAAACTTATAAACTCTCGTGTGTGTATGTAGCAAGCAGGCCCTGATTTAGCAAATTACTACATGACTAAATGTAAGTATTTTCTGTTCCTATTTTGGAACTGATGTTCTTTGCTGCCGTGCCACCTTCACTGTATGGGCTGCCACAATCAGGAGGTATTTGTAGAGTATGAAATTTTAATTCTTCACAGGAAAGATTCGGGTGTCTTCACCAGATTGAAAGCAAAGGGCTTGATGACACTGATACCTTCTGGAGCTTGGTTCAGGCTCCCCTGGTAAGGAATTGGCTTCAGAAAATATTAAGAGCCATTCTTTTTCTGTGTAATTTTAGAATGGATTTCTGCTTTGGTACCAAAGCGATTCGCTGTCAGAGTGAACCTGAAATCAGATTTCTGGCTCAAAAAGCTCCCTCTCTTTCTGGAGAACAAGATGCCAGAAAAACTATGGGGGGACCTTTAAGTTTGAAAGGCATCGTCTGTTATCTGTGGAAATGTGCCTAGGAGTCCATCTTAAAATTTCAACATTCATCCTTTGGGATGTGATGGAGAACCTCAGGTGACAGTAGTTGTGGTTAAGGATGGATTTTGTGCTTGTGGGTTATCTTTGAGAATGCTTCACCAATCCCAGCAGCTCCTTGGGGTGGGCCATGGAACTTCAGGAAGCAGGAATGGTTGACTGCTGTAATTGTTTCTGATCTGTCCAGAGAGAAAAAATGGTATGTTCCAAAGGAAGTATTTATTTGTGAGTAGAACAAATTGCAGGTGTTCTCCTTTCTTAAAATGAAAGAATTATGCTTTATAAAGACGTGATTATTTTTATTTCTGAATAACACAAACGCTGCTGCACCTTACATAGAGTAAACATGATGACTTTGCAAGAAAGAGCTGCAAAGAAATCTCAGCGAAAACTTCGGTATCTGCAAAGCTTTGAACACATCCATTGTCTTTTTGATATCCTGTTTCTTTGGAGAGATGGACTTAAATTTCACAGACAGAATTTCTCTCTTTTATCTTTATCTCCTGTTTTGATATAGCCATGGAGAAAAGCCCGAGATCAGTAACAGCAAGTTCTTGCAGAATAAGAATAACCCTCTACTTGGGTTTAGACTGTAGTAATATTGGGGGTTTTGTTTAATTGGAAGATACTCAGATTCATTAGAATAAATACTGTGTGCTGTTAAGACGTTAATTACCCATCCCATTCATTTAGATACAGCTTGCTGTAAGATTATCTTCCCTCTGCGCTGAGGGATGTTTGGGTGGCTCTCACTAGGTAGGGGGTGGGTTTCTGTGCCTATTTCTTTTGACACAATGGCTTCTTCTCCTCACGAGTTCTGCACATTGAAGCAATAGAGCAGGATAGCGAGGAGGACCCGATACAAATCTGCCTGGCACACCTCGAGGTTACAGCTCCTGAAAGAGGGTGTCGATAGGAGCGCACAAAAAAGCGCTGCCTTCCCCACAGCACTGCCTCGCAGGGTTGTGTAAGAGCCCGGTGTGACAGAGCTGCTCTCCTCACAGTGCTCCATTCCCATCTCCTCCTCTTGCCTCACTCCGCTCTTACACAACTCCACAGCATGCGTATCACACGAGAGCTGTGTAAGGATCCCAGTGTTTTTCACGGTTTTCTCATTTCCTCCTAGGGCTTTTTAATAGGAAACGTTGCACCAACACCGGTTCTAGTGACCGGGTGCTTTGTGGAGAGCTTTCGTTGCTTCTCGGTGGACGCATCAGGAGAGAGCGGCAGCTCCCGATAGGAGCGCAGCGCGGCGCGGCCTGCTGCACCCAGCGCTGCCCCCCGAACCGCCTCAGCTGAGCGCAGGCCGCTGCGGCCGGACAACCCTCAGCTGGTGCCGAGGCTCCCGGGCGCAGGGCTTCTATCAGGCGGGAGGCGGCTCTGCCCCGGCAGCGACCCGGCTGCCGCCGCCCCTCAGGAAATCACTGAGGTAAAAGATCGAAGCGGCCGGGATCAGCGGATGTGACAGCACCGCGGCACCCAGAGCCCAGGCTGTCGCTGGGTGGGACCGCCCCACAGCCCGCCGCCGCCAATCCGCTCGCATCTTGGAGCGAGAGTGACGGCAGAGACGGCCAGTCGCTGCGAGGCACTCTTCGCAAACGTGCCGCCCTTTCTTCCCGTTGGTCAGATGACCTGTCAATTTACAGAGCCGTTCCCGCCCCTTTCCGGTAGGGGGAAATGCTAGGGAGGAAGGGTGGAGGGAGAAGGGGGGGAGGGGAAGAAAAGAAAATAAACCAATGAGACACCAAAGACGGGTACTTCAGCGGAGGAGCGACAGGCGAGCGAGCCAATCGCAGCACTCCTTCCCTCCCTCTCCGGCTCCCTCCTCGCGGGCGGCGGGGCAGAGCGGGGGTGCGCCTACCGCCCCTTCCCCGTTGGTCTGTCCCACTCCGGGCCCGGCGGGCTGGGTTGAGTTAGCGGCTCGGACCATCGCACACGGCGGGCGGAGGGGGGGAGTGCGGGAAGAGAAGAGGAGGAGGAAGGAGACGGCGAAGGAGGCGGGGGGGAGAGGTTTAAAGAGACAGGAGCCGAGCGGGCGGCCGGCTGGGGAGAGGGAGCGGCGGCGGGCGGAGACTCGCCCCTTCCTCACACACGCGCTCCGTTCGCACCGGGGCCGCCGCCGCCGCTTCCAGGCCCACCCCCCATCCTTCCCTTCCGCTTCTATGAGGTAGAAGGGAGCGGCGGCCACTCCGGGGGCGGCAGCGGCCGCTCTCAGCCGCCGCCTCCTCCTCCTTCTCCGCCTCAGAGAGAGCCCCATCTTTGTGTGCGAGGCAGGGAGAGAGGGAGGGGAGCGCTGCCCGCCCGCCGCCTCCACCGCCGCGCTTTGTTCGGAGCCGGGGGCTCTATGTGCCTGCCGCCCGCCCGGCAGCCCGCGGGAACGGAGGCGGCGGCGGGAGGCGGCGTGAGGAGGGGCCGCAGCCCCTGAGGGCGGTGGCGGCGGCAGGGAGGGAGGGTGGGGTGCCTGGGGGGGGCGCGCGGCCGCCCCGTGCCGTGCCCGCGCCCGCGCGGCCGCCGCCGCCAAGGGGGGGAAGGGGCCGGCAAGCTGCCCGCCGGCCCGGCCCGTCGGCGAGAGGATTGATGTGGGGGGGTCTGACATGAGTCCGCCGGCGGCCGGGTGCTGCCATGTGACCGGCTTCAAGGTGGAGAACTGGAAGCAGAACCTGAGGGCCATTTACCAGTGCTTCGTGTGGAGCGGTTCGGCCGAGACCAGGAAGCGCAAGGTACCGGGGGCGGCCCCATCCAACCCCCCTGCACTCCCTTCCTCTCCTCTCCTTTCCTCTCCTCGGGCCCGCGGTTCCCGGCACGCGGTCGCGGGGGTGGGAGGAGGAGGCGGCCGTGGGTGCCCCGCGGTGCGGGCACGGCGCGGTGCGGGCACGGCTCGGTGCGGGCACGGCGCTGGGGCCGCGCGCCGCCACCTGCCCTGCGCCGCCTTCCCCCTCCCGGGGCCGTTCCGCAGCGCCGCCGCCCCCCGGAGGTGCGGAGCCCTTTTCCCGGAACACGGCGGAGGCTGCGGGGAGGGGAGGGGACAGGGGGGGGGGGGGGGGGGGGGAGAGCCCCGGGGCGATGGGCACGGCCCGGCCCGCGGCGGGGCTTTGTGCCGCAGGGAGGAGTGGGGGAAGGAGGCACAATGGCTGAGAGAGGCGGGAGGGAGTTGAGGGAGGCATTTCTGGTGTTTATTTACATACATCTATATAATATAGGTTGCTTTTTCTTTTTTTTTTTTGAAGATCGGTGGTCATCCGGTTGCAAAATGGGATTCTTGGAGGGTTGGGGGGGGAGGGGGGGAGAGGAGGAACTGAGAGGACGTAGGGCGCGGAGGGGGGATAAGGAGCGAGCCGGGGGTGCGAGCGCTCGGGGCACGCGCTGCGCAGCGCCGCAATCCGCCGCGATGAGGGCAGACGTGCCCGTCCCACCTGTGTGCGGCAAACCCGGCCCGGCCGTGTGAACGCAATGCCGAGGAGCCCAACCGAAGCCTCCCGCTGCCCTCCGTTGCCGTCCAACTAGTTCGTACTAACAAGTGACTTTGCAGATTTCTGTGGCTGGTGATGTTAATGGCCGAGGAGGGGACTGCAAGAGACGGCGCGGCTGAACTGCGGTCTGGGACGGCCTGCCGGGCTGTGGGCAGCTCTCAAAGAGCTGGATGTGTGCGTTGCGCTGCGGGGCTGAGCCGCCCGCTGTGTGTGCCCGGGGAATCCCATCTTGCGGTGTTTTACTTAAAGGGGGGTGGGAAATGGAATCGCTGAAGAGAAGTTTCAAAGTTAGTCCCTTGTTTGAGAGCCCTGCAACGTACAGCTGAAGTTGTGTTCTGCAGAGCTAACCGGCTGCAAGCCAGTGTCGTGAGGTATGTTAGTCAGAATTTGGTTTTATTTAACCTTTGGTGTGTCAGCATACAGATGGCTTTGTGGGACAGGATACTTAGGGCTTAAATAGAGGGGAATGCGTACAAGTGCTGCAGAAGAAAGGAAAGAGCGAGGTAAAAAAGTGTCACAGAGAAATAGGGTTGTGTTATATGGGAGCAGGAAACCCAAAATTCATCAGCAAGGTGAACACTTTAGCTTTCATTATTTTGAATGAGGAGCATCCTTTACAGCCCTGGTCTGCTGTTAGTTTGGTTTCTGCTGAAATCTGTCACTAGTGATGCGCTTCTTATTGCTCAAAAAACAGCTGGCAATAAATGCTCATTGTAATCAATCTGTGTTCCCAGCTTCACCCCTTTGGACAGGCAGGGTCATAAGGCAGAACAGGATGGTTGCAAAATCATCTCATCAAAAGCATCCCTTTCCCAGATACATGCTAAAAATGCCTTTTGTTTTTAAGCAGATTTTCCAGTCTGAAAGTAGTTGGATTCTGAGTTCGGCCAACCTGAGATGTGTGGGAGTAATCATCACATACAGGGAAGTGTTTTGTGTGCTTGGATTTGGGATAAGTTCCTATGTTCATAAAGGTAGAAGGAAGTATATGAACAACTATGGTGCTTATCTCCTATACACGGATGTGAAACCTTCCCCTGTGGAATTTTTCTTTGCTCTCCATGTTTATCCCATAAATATTTTACACGTCAAACTTCATAGCAGCATTTTCTGGTTTTGGGCATGTGATGTGATAACTAGAAAATAACCCACTGTCCTTTACATAAGATCATATTTGTTTCTCTGTGTACATTCACACAGTGTGCGTATGTTAGGGAGCACAGCCCTGATGTGGCGAGGATACCAAATATTTCTTGGTGAGAATTCTCATTCTTAGCTCTAATCAAAGCAATGAGGTCAAATAAAGGTTTGGTAGAAGGTAATTCTCATTTTCTGTTGCAAAACCCAGGGACAGTTGCATCCTTCATTTGGCACAGCAAACGTTCACAATATGCAGTTGATCATTAATGGAAGCATTGATTAATTTCACTGTTATTCAGACGAACCTAGCTGTAAAACAACAAGCAAACCCAGCCGTTTTGGCTGTTGGTGCTTGGGAGCCAGATGTTAAATTGTTGGGTTTCTGGGCTGCTAATGTTCCATCCCTCCTAGGGCTGTCTTAAAAATCCAGATAGCAGTAGGAACTGCAGGGGGCAGAAAGTGTCCGCTGCTCCTGTTTCGCTTACACCGCTTACTGCATTATGCTTTGGAAGACCATTTTGACACTTCTTGCTGCTTGCTATTTGTTTTGAATACGTACCTTTCCTGAGAATAACCTTTTAGGAGCTGCAGCCCTCCGTTCAGCGTTCTTCACATCCAGAGTTTTTAATAAAAAAGCTGCAAAGCGCTGTTTGTAGTTGGAAAGCCATTTCCTGTACCTATATCTGAATTCCCAATCAGAAGGAAGAGGTAATTATGAGTATACCTTTGTTAATGCTGGAATTCTGGTGAAGGATTTGGGGGTATGTTTGCTTCCAAAGCGTTGTCAGCAGTGGGATTTCAGCTTCCAAAGTGTTGTTCTGCCTCCTTCCAGGGGCTGAGCTGTAGCTTTCTGTGCTGTGGCCGGGGCGAATGAGCGCAGCAGTTGTGCTGCTGTAGGCAGAGATTTGCTGTAGTGCAAACGTGCTGCTGCTGGTAAAGCCTGAGGGAAGCATTGTGTTGTTTGAGGCGTGGAATAGGAGAAGGGCTAGAG